AAACTCCCTGACAACACTGAGTGAATACAGATGTTGGATTCACTGGTAAAAATCTGCTGCTGCTGCTTTGTCAGAGCTGTAGCAGAATCAGAGAATGAACGTGTCACTGACGTGAGAGCTGACACTGAAACATGATCCTCACTCTGAGGTCTGCAGCTAAAATCACTTCCTGTCCTCCATCCTAACATCCTGTAAACACATAGCCTTGAGCAGCAGCAGCAGCAGCAGCAGCTGGGTTGAGGATATCATTACCCTGACTTCCTGTAGACTCACTGATCACACCATGGACACGGATGATGAAATGACTCCGATCTTTCTCAGGCTTTTTTCCGTTGACCCGTCATCACTGATTGGTTTTCCCCTGTCACATGACCCTGAAGGGAGCAGCAGTTCCACGTGGCAGAGGTTTCTCCTGCTGCAGTCGTTCACATTCCCGTTAGCCAAACAGTAAAACCTGGGCGTTAGTGTCCGACTGCGACTCAGAAATTTAACAGTAGATAATCTCATGTCTTAGTATTAACCAAAGAGAAACCAAACTGATGCGGAAAAGAACACGGCAAAAATAGCTGAAAGTTGACCAACAAATGTACTAGCCATAAAATCCATAAACAACCGCCTCATTTAGGAGAAAAGCTATCTGAGGTTTAAGGTAAACTGATAAATAAATCTACACAAACACCTAAACTCCAACTCACAGCTGGCCAAACTTTGTCTCTTTACGTCTTATGTGTAGCCTTTTCTAAAAATCTTTTTTTCACAACAAAAAAAAAAACCCTAAATATTTATGCTATAACATAGCGTATACGCCGCAAATCCCGCCAGTAGGCACCTATCCAATCATTGTTGACACGACTGTGCTCTTGGCCAATCACATGTCTCTGTGCAGCCCTCCTGATCTGCCCCTGTCATGAGTGATATCTACGACTGTGCGGCCCGCTCTCTGGGTCTGTTCAACAGTCCATGTCTGACCAAAGTGGAGCTAAGGGTGACGTGTCGAGGCCTGGGCGACCGCGACGCCCTGTCCAAACCTGATCCCTGCATCGTCCTCAACATGCAGTCGCACGGAGGTTGGATGGAGGTCAGTGGACACGCCCACATTTCACCAGCATTACACACCCCACCGACGACTACAGCGATATCAAAACAAACCATCAACCAATAGTTTTACTGTTTTACTACACACTCTTTAAATACGTCATACTCAGCTACATACTTAACTCTCAAGCATTTCCAGTCCAACTTCACGTTATAAGACCTCAGATTCCATGTTGTCATAAAGTCATGTTCCATTAGAGCTAATGTTGTCTGTGGGATGTTTGAATAGTCAAACGTAAGCCGTACAGCAGCAGTAAGTAATGCTTAGTCTTAACAGTTAAGTCAGAGTTTTTACTGTGGCACAATCTGACTTTAAGTTGAAATACTCATGTGAGAGAGTCAATGATAAAATGCTAATTTTGCCATGCTAATAGAGACAGAGGCTGTTAGGAGCAGCACTGAACAAACCTCAGTCGAACAGCAGTCCACAGACTCAGTGTGTGTGTGTGTGTGTGTGTGTGACTCTATGACTGCATCAGACCTGATTTCTGCTCTTGCCCCACTTTAGTTATTTTCAGCGCCCTGGTGGTAAAATAAAAATAAATAAATAAAAAGCAAACCTTTTTTTTTTTAAATCACACCAGACCAATCCACACAATCTGTGTCAGAAGCTATGACATCATCACCGCTGATGTCATCACTGTCAGAGATGTTATGTTTATCCTGCTTCATATTCTTTGACTTCTTGGTCTTTTTTCTATGTTGCAGTTCTCTTCAAGAGGCAGTTTTTATCAAAACATATCTGTTTAACTGCATTTAGAAACTTTTTTTTTTTTTAATTTGAAAAAGTTGGAATTCAGGCTCGTTAGCAAGAATGAAGAAAACACAGGAAGTCAAACCATGTGGACGTCTAACGAGCAGCAGCAACAATATGTGTGCCCTCGCTGGCAGAGACAGATGGCGCTGTCGTGTCACAGCTCCTCAGAGATGCATTAATTGGATGCTTCATATTTTGTCTGAATCAGCTAAAAAGAAATCCAACACAAAGGCTGAGAGGAGACACAGCATCCTGTCAATCTGTTCCTGCTCCCATTTCATCATCCTGGCTTTGGCAGACAGATATATTCATCAGTTCAGATGCTAATAGTGCCACTGATAACAAATTGGTTTAACGAGAGCGATCTGCTGCTAGAACGCCAAAGACGAGGGAGGTTGACTTTTACATTAAAAACACCACAGAGTTTTTTTTACACTGGCTGCCCTTCCTGGTGAACTGTAACCCTGGGATCAGGGACTGGGTGGAATAGAAAGCATTAGCTTCACACATATGTTAATATGCTAATGTAAAAAAACACTCAACCGATGGAACAACAATGACAAAATCGAAACGCTAACACTTCAACGATCGCGTCTGAAAACATCGGTCTCGTCCGACTAATTCAATCTAAAAGGTTTGGCCCAGCTCTGTATACCTTTATAGCAATGATAACTGCAGAATGGCGCCCCCTTCCAGGTGGATCGCACCGAGATAATGCGCAGCTGCGTGAACCCCACCTACTCCAAAGTCTTCACGCTGGACTTTTACTTCGAAGAAGTTCAGCGCCTGCGGTTTGAGCTCTACGACGTCAACAGCAGCTACGGCGGTCTGGGGGAGGCGGAGTTTCTGGGCTCCGTGGAGTGTACCCTGGGACAGGTGGGGCCACGCCCACTTCCACCAGTTACCACCTGCATCATCTGTGTTCAAAGTGTTGTCTTTGAACTTCATGTTGTGCCCGTGTTGTGTTCAGATCATCTCTCAGAGAAAAGTGTCCAAAGCTCTGGTCAGACCTGGAGGCAGCGTGGGAAAAACCATCATCACCGTGAGTCCTGATTGGCACCGATCCTCTGATCTGTCCTCTGATCAGTCCTTTGGTCCATTGATCTGTCCTCTCGTCCTCTGATCTGTCGTCATTTTGATCTATCTTCTGATCTATCCTCACATCTTGACCACTGATCCCTCCTTCTCTTCTCTTTTCTTTTCTTTCCAACACGTTCTCTTGTGCCTACATCTCCTACCTCTTCCCTTCACTCTCCTCCTTGGATCCTCCCTTTAATGGGGGGGGGGAGCGGGGAGGTGAACCCACTGGTGATTTATCGTTTGCTGTTTGTTTATTTGCAGATCACAGCAGAGGAGCTAACAGGAAACGACGACTACATTGAACTGTCCTTCAGTGCCAGGAAACTGGACGATTCACTCTCCTCCTCGTTGTGTGTGTGTCTGTGTGTGTGTGTGTTTTGTGTGTGTGTGCTTTGATGTTCACTAAATTGAACACACTAATCTGCCCCCCCGGGGCTGTCTGTGTCTATTGTTGTGTGGTAACCGGTGTGACGTTATGGTTCCTTCAGGACTTCTTCAGTAAATCTGATCCCTTTCTGGAGATCTACCGATTAAATGATGATGCTACGCTGCAGCTTGTCTATAGGACAGAGGTAAACAAACCACAGTGACAAGTGAGGACAAGTAAAACAACAACTGTGAGACGTCACTGAATCTTTGTTGTGTATCAGACGGTGATGAATAACTTGAACCCGGCGTGGAAAACCTTCAAAGTGTCTCTGAACTCACTCTGTAGTGGAGACCATGAACGGAAACTGCAGGTACACACACACACACACACACACACACACACACGGGTCCAATCAGACCTATGGATATCTGGAGACTTTGATTTTTTATAACACAGTCCTGTTACAAAACAAAATGGAAATTCTTGTTCTGAAATGTTTTAAACGCAAGAAAAAAAAAATCAAATGTTCAAGTCGTGGATCTTAATTTATAAACCTTGATTCCAACATGCAGTTTTAGCGCAGATGAATTAAGAAAGACTTTTAATTTGAAAATCAAACCGTGGA